GGATACGTGAAAAGAGAACGTCTCAAGTGGTTTGCATGTATTTTGTAAGAAAAAAAACAAACCAATCAGACTGAAAAACATACGATGTGCGCAACAAGCAATTGAAAATTTTAAAAAATATATTGTTTTTTGTTCGTTCTGTTCTGATTCCGCGTGCTTAGAAAACCATCGGATTCTGAGCACTGACAAATTGTATTCGATCGGCTACTCATTGAAGTTTCGAGTGCTCGACAAGATAAAATCGGTTGAAAGAGTACTATTGACTCGTCAGGTATATTGCAACCACTCGAAACTTATCGAAGTTGCGACTATTTGATGAAGAGAAACACGCCGATAGAACATTTTCGAGTGCTCCTATAGAAGTAAGTCTAGCAGAATAACATTTCGAATGCTGTATCCAATCTTGACTGCATGAAATTACTACGAAAAGTGGTTTTCAAACGTCTTTTTGTTTTATATAACGATTGTAAAAGGATTATTTTGTGCTCAGTATATATTACAACTTAATTTCATAACGATTAAAGAGTATATTTTTCCATAATAAACACACCAGGATTTGTTGTAAATTCAACAAAAAATTACAATAATCATAGTAAATTTTCATCAATTCAACAAATACTCAGCTATATAATGTCGAAAATTCAAAACTAAAATTCGAAATTCTTCGCATCCTTCTTACACTATGAGCTGAGCTCAATTACCGTCTAGTTGAATGTTACAATTGTTCAAAGATGTTAACTAGAGGGAAACAATGTATGTTTGTATTTGAAATTACTTAGAGTTACTTGATCCCTTTTTTTTGATACAATTTTAAAGTTGATAAGATGTATAAAAATGAAACTAATATGTTAAGAGACTATAATAAAAGTATTTTAAACCAAAGTATACAAAGAATAGAACAAAATTAATTCAAGATTATTACAAAAGAAATTATTTAGAACTATAAAAATAGGAAAAAAAGATATACTGAATGATACACACTTGATTTAAAGTAGAGAAGAAAATTATTCTTGTAAGGCTCAGCTTTGTAATTGTTATTATCATAATTATAATGTTAAATAATATTTACTGCAATATCTGTTATGTTATATCAATAGTTGAAACTAGTTGAATTTTTCTATGTAGTTAGTAAAGACTAACAAAAATCCAATTGTGCATTTCTAGACTTCGGTCGACATAAAAATACAACGATATCTAATTGAAGGTAGTCAAGTCTTAAGAGTATCGTAAGCCTTCCTACTTCTTACACAATATGACACTCTATTGAGGTTAGATTCATTTCATTATATTTATACTAAATGTGAAAACAAAGAAAATTTTCCTACTTTCTAATGTGACTGATGAGCGCATGATTTTATAGAAGAATATCTGAACTATGTGTATAAGAACCTAAATTAAAATTCAAAATGTATGCCGAGTTTGAATTTGTTGTATAAATATATGGAATGCATAAGTCTTTTTTGTGTAGCTTACATATAGTTTCAAAGAAAATAGGGAGTGTAGGTTCTAAGTCAAAGTTTCGCGGCTTCCCTCCCTCTCATTACAGATTTTAGCGACCGGAATTAAAGGTACCGAATGACATTAATAACAAGTCTTACAAAGTCCTAGAATATTCAGAACCTTTCTTGAAATTAACATGACTGGTATATGTTTTTCAATATTCTAAATAATGCACTTTCTGATTTTTGCGTAGATAAACGATTATATGATAGATATTAAGGATGATGCTTTGATTTCCCCCCTAAACTTTCATATGACCAATACAAAAACATGAATTGATTAAGTTCTAACTTTCAGGAATAATCACGTATCAGTGTTGCTAAATTCATCGAAATACAAAACAGATTGTTAAGATTTGCTGTAGATATAACGAATATATACAATGGGCTTATTTGTCCATTAAAACAATTGTTAGACTAATAATAATAAATTATGAAAATGAACTAAGTAACAAGAGAATAGCAATAAGACAAATTAAAAAAGAAAACAAAATTTTTATGCAAAATGTAGGAATAAAAAGCATATCGTTTGCTGGAAATCAATTACCGTTGGAAAAGAACTATCGTTTTTTTAAAGTGATTTTACACTTTGCGTATTGTGTATCAGTATAATGAAACGAAGGAAGACATGTGAGTTCCATATTTCAGTCTTAAAATGACCATATTCACAAACTTTTGTTTTTTCGTCTCATATATAAATATTTTCTTTTTTATTGATATTTCATAGAATCGATTCAAGATTCATTCAAAACCAAATTTGGTCGTGTGATGTGTCTATACTCATTATTAGTATTCGTCTGAAGTTAATTTTGTTTTGGTAATTCTAGAGTGAACATATTCTAATGGTATAAGTATAAACAAAGTTCTTCTTTTTTCCTGATTAAATTAATTATCTTTTGCTTGTTTTTATATGCCACAATATATTTTGAACATAAATCATTGATCTCATTAAGTTTTTATACATAGAAGTAAAGCAAAAATGACTGAAAAATCGAACTCTTTAGATGAAAACAAATGGAAAAATGAAAACTAAATGTTTTGTACATGGTTTGTTAATACTCTTTCTCGATTTATCTTTTGTAATGAAAATATTTTCTAAATTAAAAAAACTTATAAAGTTTCACTTTTTCTTTCAATTCTTATTGAATATATTGAAGTAACTTATAAATCTTAACACGATGAATACTATCGATGGAAAAAGATAGGAGAACTGAACAGTTTGACTTTTAAGTCATATTTTATACCTTCTAAATTTCTCAAGATTTATTTATTCTGATATTTGATGAACATTCTTAATGAATGAAAATTTCTTAACAAAAGTAAGTTTTTTATTATTTGAAATAATTATATCATGACTGACAAATATTAATTATGAAAGCGTTTTCAAGTTTTTGACTGTCATCTAAAAAATGTGTAAATCAATAGAGAAAAAAGAAATCTAGTACATTGAATTTGATACAAGATAATAAGAAAAAAATGTCAAAAATGTACGTAAAACTCAATCAACCGAAAATTTCGACTACATAGAATCGATATCTGGAAAACTAGATAGTTTGGTTTCCATTCTAATGCTGAACCTGATAAGATCCAACGAAGCAGAACTCGACTAGGTTTTTAAAGTTCTCTTTTATTTCGGTGAATGTATTTTCAACATTTATGAAGCATTTCTTGATATTCTATTGGAACTAAAAATAATTAGATAGATTTCTGATTATTTTGAAGTGCTTCATGTACAAAAAAATCTCGTTTTTCATGAAAATGCTCTTCACCAGATTCAAATTCACTGTATTGCCATATCAAATAAAAAGACAAGTAGAATATTCGAAAAATATGATCTTGTTTTCTCTGATTTATTTCCATGCGTCCAAAGTCGAGAAGAGTAAGCAAAATGACATTAATAAAATGGCTAAAAAAGCTAAGTTCGTCTTTGACCAACAGTAAATCATCTTCAAAGGTAAAGAAATAATTTGTTTAAACTTGATTTTTCAAAGAATTATGTTCACAAATAAATATATATAAAAGATCTCCTCTGTCGTTATCTTACAAACAAATATGAAAAGAAACCTCTTTGATTATTTCAACATTTTCGAATGTTTTATACTTTTATATAAATAGACTAGATAAGAAATAGACGAAGAAATCAGATATGTTTACCCTCTTTTTTTTTATTTCCTACATAATCAAACAGTAAATAGATTGCCTTTTTTCATTACTAGTTTGTTCACAGAAAGAGAAAAAGAATACATTATTAAGACAATCGTCACAAAATTTGTGCTCATTGATAAAAATGAATACGCATTTTATCCTCATCTAAATATATCATGTCAATACAAAAAACAGTTACAACTATCACAACAAATCGTGAGAACGAAGCTGAAAACAATAGAGAAATTTGAACGAACCTATTTTTATAGACTTAGTCTGCTCATGAACAGGCTATGAACCTCTTTAATAGATCTATATTTCTCATCAGTTTTAATTGATTAGGCTTCTTTATCTATTGAGAACTTTGTGTTTTTTTTTGTACGTACTAATATAATAGTGATTATTGAATGATACTCGAATACTATCCTTATCAGAAGACCAGGACAACAAGTGTACTGAAACGAAATGACTATACAAAACACTTGTTGATTTAGTATACTATGTATCTCGAGAGCAGAGTCCGTCGAGTCCAAAAATTTTGCACTCGGACTCGGTTCATTAAACCTTTTACGGATCCAAACTCAAATCTTAGTATTAATACTCTCAATGAAATTGTTTAATCAACATTGGATAGTCACTCCGAAGACATGAGATACTTTGTACAATTGTTTGTATTGGATGACTAACACGTCCGACACGCTTCTCAGGTAATTTTGACAATGATCTTATAAGAGTCAAGTTATAATTGCCTCTTATTTTTAGAGTAGCATTCGTCCGGACGGTCCTTGAACTGGATCGAATCCGAGTTCTACTCGATGAGCTCAATTGGCAAGAATAAATCAAAAATAAAAATATTTCTGTCATTTTACAACAACGTTAATATGAATCAGAAAACAATAAAATTTAGTCAATTATTTATGCAGATAAAAATAATAATAATCCATTTGAAAGTACGAATAGTAAACTTAGCGAAACAAATAAACAAACTAAATAAATCAATGTAGAATTACTGATATAATCATAATAGATTATTATGAGTCAGGATTCTATTCAGTCAATATGATCAAAGAATCATTATTAACTTTCAACGGACAACGATGCTTGTTATTGAAAATCTATAAACAGACGTGATAGACAGGCAGAATTAATGCGTTGTTTTGACCTTTTATAGACAAGATTATATCAGTATGTGAAGATACAAATACGTATATTACAAAATTTAAAAATATAAATCATTCGGTCTATGAAGTTACAACGAATTATCCATGTTAATATACTCTGATTTTTATTTAAAATGAAACAGGAGATAATTTCTCAAGCATGAATATATATTAAAACGATAGAATATAATAAAATTTATTTGGATATGATATGAAATTTGATTCTTTGTCGCACATTAGATAATTCTTGTTGAATTTTCAGGATATTTTCTGTTAATTGTGTATCTTGTGATATACTTTTATTCGTCTTTAATGTTATTTTCTCCAAATGATGACATCTCATTACTAGACCTTTCCAATTATTTATATCTAATAACTTGTCAATATTGATATTGTTGACAATTAAATGAACATATCGAATATTTGGCATAATTTGAATAAAATCAGTTGTTGTCATCAAAACACATGTTTTATGATATTGTGAACAATTATTTATCCATGTCATAGAACCATGAGTCATATCAAGGAGAAAATATTCAATAGTAAATTTTAGGTTGTTAATTTTGCTAAAAAAATGAGATGTATGACGATGAGAACATAGTATGTAATCACAACGAATTTCTAAACGTTTAATTGGATTTTGAATATGATTGAAAATCTTACATAAACGATGAACGTCAATCTCATTGTTATAATAAAGAGAAAGACATATTAAATTAGGAAAACATGTTTGAAATTCATTGATTTGATTTACATGTTGAAGATTGATAAGAGTAACAGATATTATATTAGTAAAAATAGATGCAGAAGCTAATTCCATTGTTGATCTAAGTTGATTTTCTTTGAGATGTAAAGAAACAATTTGTTCATTATCAATGTTTTTAATCATTGTCTTCATAAATCTGTCAGAAGGTTCAACAATAGGTAATCTTGCTTTATATTCTCGTAATAAACGAAGAATATCAATAGGAAATATAGTAACAGCATCATTTAATGATAAATATTTAGTTATTTCAAGAATGATATCCCAACAAAGACTAGTCTTTTTAATGAAATTAAATGACTAAAACAAAAATAATAATACACGAATATGAAGTAAGTAAATACAAAATACTTACGAGATATTGTTCATTCTCATCAAATTCTTCTTTAAATGTAAACAATATATCTGATAGTGTTTCAAGATTTAATTTTCGATGAGTTTGCATCAAAATATCACCTTTGAGTAATATTTTAAATTCATATGAAGATGCTAAAAATGAATCTTTTTCTTCTGAAGATCTTCTCATAACACCAATAAGCATAGGACATTCTTTCATCATTAAATCAACAGGAAAATGATTGGAAAACATTTCTTTCCAGATTTCGATCAACCTATATAAAAGATATTAATAAATTTAACAAACAAAGTATATCAACATATCATGCATGAATCAGTTACATACATATGTTTATTGGATTCATCTGTAATATCCCATGGCCATATAATATAATTTTCAAGTAAATATTCAACCATAATCATTGAACATAACATGTTCAAACAAAACATGTGTGTCTGTATGTTCTTACCATGATGTATATAGATAAGTAATGGACGGCTCTAAAATATGTCAGAACTTTACGTTTCGTACAATTATGTAAATAGATATCAACCAACTTCCTTAACCATTTTCGTATTGAATGCTGATATAAATGCTTCTTGTAAAGAACCAATGAAAAATGCAGGACATATACCATAATGATCCATGAACCATTTGCATAAAGATTCAATGATATTAACGTCATTTCTACATTCAGTTGTTACTTTAAATAATGGAATAATAAGGAGTTCCATTATTTCTTTGATTATAAGTAAAACAGAACTTACAAGAACTATAATCAACGAAATTAACGTCAGTATGAAAAGTATCATTGTTGGTCATATCTGTCTTACTATTATCTCTAGATGTATACGTAAACATCTCTTTCATTTTTTATTAAAAAATAATATCAACATAGGAAATATTTCCGTTTGCATATAAGAGAAGATACTTACCACTGTGATTGTTTATTCGATGATCATAAAAAGAAAAATTATTCAAAAATAAAGAACTATATTTCTACAGTTATTGACAAAAAAAAAAGTGACACTGTAAGTTGGATTCTTCTAATTATTTTATATACAAGCTTCACGGTAAATACCTGTTTCATTCTTCTGACATCAGTACATGACACGATAATTTTATAGTAGGCTGCTCATGACTAATAAAACAGAACGAAAAAAAAACCAAGTGTTTTTTTTCCTTTTCCAACTGAAATTCATGAAAAATTGAATATAAAAAAAAGATAAACATAAACGAAAACCATATGAAATCTGTAGAATAAAAATTAAAAGAAGATAAATTGAAATTTGATCATTTCTCACACTTTATATGATGTAAAACAAAGCATTTATGAGTAGCAATAGCGACTGAAATTCTTAGCAACTATGTTCGACAACATCGGGTGTGTTTGAGATATTTAAATATTGTTGCAATCATTATCCTGTGAAATCAAAACGAAAATTAGACTCGTTTACAAATGCTTACAGATACAGTCGCATCCAAAAATAGGAATAAAACGCATTCAGTCACATTTCAACTAATGGCCGCCTTCAGATGCATCTCAAATACACGACCGTAGCTTGATCAAAATTCTTTCTAACAGATCATAATCATTTTCATAAAACGTAAACATGTTAAATGAATTCATGCATATTCTTCAATCTAACAAATAGGTACTTCTTGTGTAGAATATAATAAAGATTTGGAAAAAATCTTTATTCACATATCATCTGCCGAAATATATGAAATATATTTTAGAAAAACTTGAAATAAAATAAACGTCAATTATAACGAACATAAAAATATAACATCAACATAATTGTTATAAAAAGTTGTGACAGATAAATATTTCCTCGTAGAAAAATTCTTTTGTATATCTCTTTTACCTTGTATAACACGGTATACTGATATTCGTCTTCTACCAGTGAATGTTTGATGATATTATGTATTTTATTAGATATATCAACTATGTACATAACATCCATGAGGATTCTCAATGGTTAAGTATATGATAAAATAAAATATATAACATTTCTTCTGTAGCCTATACAATCTCTTTTGACGATACCTTCAAGCTTAATGAAGATGTTATTATTGTCAATAACAATATCTTCATAAAAGATATTTGAACATGATAACGTTTTATTGTCAAAAGTAAGACACCGTTGATCTTTAATATTCATTCTGAAAATACGTAAAAAATGATTCACTATGACGAACTTAAATGATATTCTGTATAAATTCAATACAAGGTTTGCCAGCAAGTAAGAACAATAAACAAGTGTCATTCTTTTGACCTGAAAATTAATATCTTATGAGAGTAAAACAATTTCTAAAAATACAACATGTTTTAAATAGTTGTATATTCTGTTGATGAAAAAGATATAGAAATTCGATGAGTCTACTTTTGTTTAAGTCCTCTAGTCAAAAATGAACTGTTTCATTTTCATTGATTGACATTGGAAAAAATTGTAGACAAAGATTGAATGATAGATAAATATCTTCTACTTTTGTACGACGAATATGACGAGATTCATCAATATGTCCTTTCACAATAAATAGAACCAAATGCTTCGCATATCTAATCAATAAAACAGCATAAAAACAGAACAGCCAAATACTTGAATATTTCAAATTTCGTTGACTTTGTATTGTTGATATTTTGATAGAAAACGAGGTACGTGAATTGTTATTGTTGATGAATACTGTTTATTGAAGAAAGATAGCGATTAACAACACTTAACTTGTAATGAATACTTCATGGTTGTTTTCAATACTTTTATCACACGAAACTATTTTCTTCTATTTTATCAGGTGATATAAAATAAAATAATTAAATTTTGTGAAATATTTTCTATTATTTTCTTTTGTACTTTACGATATAATATTCAAGATATTGACCTAAAAAAAATGAAAGATATATGTTAAACAAGCATTACTTTCATTCATATATTTTATTAAACATGTTGAATGCATAAGAGAAAAGTTACATGAATATATTCATTATTGAAAAGCTTATAGCTGCTCAATAGAGAAACCATCATATCAAATGTAATCTTCTGATTTCCATGGAAAGTTCATATAAGCATTCAACAAAACTATTTTTATATTTAATGGCATGATTCATTAATTTTAATCTTGATTGATATCGACACTTGAAAGATGCATGAAGAAAAATCCTATATGGAACTAACTTATCTACACAAGAACCAGATAACTTCGATGATTTTTTTTTTGGGCATATAAGCATTTGTTCCTATCAATTAAGTTCTCTCAAACATTTATATTTTCCGTATCTCATTATTTTTTTATGAATAATATAATGTTCAAATAAGTTTGTCTTGAGACTTTTACATTTCAAGTGAGAGTTGAAGACCATTTCAAATTAAGAGATTTTATCTTTCTAAATAATTTATATCCACTATGTAACTTTAATATTAGTGGACTCATTCTAGCAGTACATCTAATATTGAAAAGTAAGCTTTTTAGACTGTATAGATCTGTAGTATGACCAAGTGAAAAGAAAAAAAAACCCTTTACCCTTTCGTTCAGTTCATGAAAAATTGATATAGAGATTTCTTACCATCACATCATGACAAATGTCGTGCAACAAATCTGATAAAGAACTAGTCTCAACATCGAAGTGAATGAGATCCCGAAGCACACATAGACTTATGTGACCTCACAATCGATCATGGAATTTCATATTATTCACCAAACGTTCCTTCTCGTAAATATTCATAAACATGTCATACGTTTTATTTGCACATAAACGAGGCTGTTGCTGATAATCAGAAACACAACAGATACTATGATATTTTTTTAAATTAAAACATTTGTTTCGTTTGATTTAATTAATAACAAAAGTAAAAATCCCCAAGAGATGAGCTACAAATTTTTGCTACTTTAATGTCATCTACATTCATTATGAGAGTTATAAACTTTCTTTCTTTCTCTTTTTAAAGGGAGCCCCTCAGAAACGATTTTCCACTTGGGATAGTACATTAAAGCTGAAATTTCCAGAGATTGACCTATCCTGGAGAGATGCGCTTCTCGTAAAAATTTGAGCTCGATTGATCGTACTAAACCGAATTTCCAGCTGATTCATAGGTCATTTTTGGCCTTCAGGAGAATTGATATAACTTCCTCGTAAGATGAGGTAGAGAGCTCAGGGTGGTTTCAAATTAAAGCTAATATCAGTGCGCAACTTTTGTCCGACTAGAATTTTCAAATTCAATTTCATTCATTTTTTATGAGCATTTTTGGTGACATCGTCTAAAAATCAACATAAAAGATGGTAGTGCAACGACAGAAAATTACACTTTTCTCAGCCTTGGAATCAAATATCAAAAATCCGTTCGGACAAGAGTTTACTCTTATTCAGACCTTTAAAACCAAAAACAAATATTGGGGTATAACCTGAGTTTGGAAGGAGAAGTTCCATTTTTTCTGATTGGGAAGCGTGTTCTAAGAAAAACGATAAGCAAATTTCGAAATCGATTTTTTTATTCAAATCCAGAGAAAATCATAGTATAATTGGATATTACTAATTCATTCCAGCGGACCGTTTTAAAGCACGTAAGAGATGAAGGTAGCTAACGCCATCTGACATGCTCGTTCATATAAAAATGTTCTACTCAATGCTAATGCAAGTGGTAACGCAGTTTTTCCAAAACTGAAAACCACAAAAATTTCTCGAATAATATGATAGTAGAATCAAAGTTTCATGTGATAAGTCTTTGAAAATCTGATCATTTTCAAAAGGCTATAGATATTGTGAAAGAGAAATCTTCGCTACATCTTCCTATGATAAAAACTCAACTTCGATATTTCTTTGAAAAATTGGATTTTCTAAGCGGAGGAGGGAGGAGGAAGACTTAATTATATTTGGATATTTTTCTTTATCGCGTAGAGTGTGGATGTGGATGGGTGTGAGTGTAGATTTGAGCTGTGAGTGAAGAGAAGTTGTACAGCCACACCCAATGTCTACACCCATACTCACACGCCACATTTCTGTCTATATCCACATCCAGACTCACAACCCACACCCAGTTTAAAATCAAAACTCAGCTAGCCAAGCTTCTCCTGAATACGGATTTTAATAGAGGCGTAACTTGTAATCATGTGTGTTGCACCCTTATAAAGCAAATCTATGACAATAATAGGCTTCTTTACGCCCTGATTCCAACTAATGGCCTTCATATTTACAGAAGCGATGAGGTAAATATTGTTGTAACACAAACTAAGGTGAAGACTTATGATTATGTCTCAAATAGAGTCGATCATCGACGAAAAAAACTCAAATTATAAGTATCGTGAGGTAATCAATATTATGGCTCAAAAATAAAAGAGAAAAAAAAAACGACAACTTTCATTGCAGCACTGAATGACGAAGCAAGCGTACATTTTTGCTATAAATCAAATTATTTTTAATTACGTGACTGTCGAAAGAACGAAAGAAAATTTATATTATAATCGTCATCGTTCTATTAGCTCTCTTACTAAACATTGCAAGGAAGCCTAAAAAAACATAGCAAACATTTGCTCACGCAAATCGTCCATATATAATGACTGGCACATACTGTGCAATAATCTCATTTTCTGTCTTGTACATAAGAGTACCACTAAATAAAGAATCAAAGTACAGTTAGTATTATAGCCTTTTCATTTGAGTACTACACTAACTTTGGATATCTGGTCATGTACAAAAACCAATACTAGCTTTGAAGTATTCGTTTTTGTGTGATGTTGATATCAAGATATTAGGTTTTATATGATTTTGGTATTTGTCTCAAAGTACCGCTAAGAACAGTGATGTTAAAAGAATAAAAAAAATATGAATATTTTTCTTGTATACGTTATTATATTTGTTTTCTTCACAGAACGTCCTGATATAATAAATTTTCCAGACTACTGTTATTATTTAACTAAGAAAAATTTAGAAAAAGAGATAACAATCATTGTGTTCATAATTTCTAGAAAATATCGGATTTTTTTTGATAAAAAAATACTAAACCAGAAATGTATTTCGACGAAAAGAATAAAATAACGTATACTGGAAACATTCGTAATTCTATTCTTTCTAAATCAATTTTCTCATTATTACTTTTAGAAAAATATCAAAACCAACATCATCGATAGTAAAACCATATGCAAGCTTTTCTAGATAAGATGAACAGAAGTTCAAGATTCGACTAGTACTCAGTAATGGTATTTAGGATTATTGACTTGTTGTAAGATGCAGGTTTCGTATACCTATATATGTAAGAAAGAGAGCGCTATGAGGTTGTCTGAGGGACTCTATTCTTGATGTTGCAATATCAATAAAGCGTTGCAGCATGCATATTAATTCACTATATGTGACATGAATATGAACGAATGTTGAAGTACCTAGCAAGAAAAAATGAGTTCTCTAGTTTGTCCCTTAGGCGATAACAGAGACATATTGTGGTTTTTTACCTGATCATAGGCTGTTAAAAAAAATCAATGGACTTCAGAACAATTATATATTTTTACTCGTGAATTTTAGATATGAGTGTGCGATGATTGAGAGTTTTCTTTTCACCCAAGCGCTTGCACCGACAATCCCCATCCATATCTATCCTACACCTTTACACTCGCTCTCGCATTACAGGAAAGTCAAGCATCTGCTAGAGATTTGTGATCCGTATACGTCAATACCCAACTGTAGTCAGTAGTTAGTCACCTATCCATGATCATCGTGACCTGATCCTCATGCTCCAACGATGACTGAAAAGATATTAGAAAACTAAACAGATTGAATCCTAGCTTCTCATGAAGAAATGTCCATTCTCATAGTTTACTGAGAGGTGGGTCAAAAATATCATAGAAATAACTGCAATTTCTGATCTATAGATTTCCTTCACATGCTCTTCTTTCTAGTTTTCAATCATATATGAGATAAGTCAAAGCTTTGGAGCATATAAGGTTGTTGGGAAATGTTTGATGTTATTATGATCCTATTTCTTATTCAGCATTAGAGGCAAAAAAGACCATTCCTCAAATGAAAGACCTATACAGATCAAATAAAATGATGTAACATAGAAATATTTGCTACAGTCCATTTATACGTACACAGATATGCGTACCATACTGCAATTAATAACAGAAAAGCATTCTATTAGACATTTCTATTAGGACCATTGTGTTTGAAGAAAAATGAACTGTCAAGTTAGTGATTTATTTATAGAAACAAAATCATATAACTCAACATCACAAATAAGTTCGTACAATTAAATGAAACGATGTCTTTCACCAATATTTTAATTGTGCTGGTACTTTTGGCTTTTTTCCTTACTGAAACCGGTGAGTTTGCTTATTTCTTCACTGTAAAATAAAGTTGTCAAAATCGTTCCTAAGTAACAGCAAAATGACCAGTTCCAGTATAAAATATCAGAAAGTCATGAAACTTGGACACAATATTTCGGTGCGGAAATATCAAGACTTTTCGACTCGGAATACTGTGTTCAAATTCCGAAGATTTTAGGAGATCTCCTACTAGATACGATGGTTGTCTTGCATCTTTCTGATCTTTTTCGGAGTTCGGAATTATTAACTTGAGTTTCTCTCTCTGTTCTATCCATTATTCTGTATTCGTTGCACTCTCATGCAGTTATATGTGATGGCTATTTTTACATGCAACGAGTGCCATCATCCTGTATTGAAATTACTGTCAAGTTGACTGATAATGGAAGTACCACTGACAATTGTTTAATCTATGATTGGAGTCAGATCACAAATTTGACTACGAGTTACACGGCCTACATTGAACCTAATACAAATCAAACATATGATGTCCACATTGGTGCATTAACTGTTTTGGGTACAATGGATAATTATAGTTTGAACTATGCATGTCCACCAATGGGATATAATGGTGTAGGATCTGGTTGCCGAACTGAACCCAATACACAATTGGTAGTATTACAAGTCAATGCTTTTGATGGAAAATTATATATCATTGATATTATTCTATCTGGTGTTCCTTTTCCTTCTTCACAAGACTTGAAGGAAAATCAACCACCATTTGGTAAAGCTCGGATAACATTCAACTTAGGTGTTGCACTTCAACCTACTGGATATTTTCAAATCTGTAAAAATAAGACAAGTGAACAATGCCCGAATCAGAACATCAGTACTCACAAACTTCCACATCCATTGCCGAGTAATTATGGGTATGGCATTTTTGGTATCCAGGAATTCAATTTAATTACAAATTCAACATGGATCATGGATGATCCATATCAATTGCTTATTGTTACTGCAGGTACTAATTATTATTATTTCAATGCGACTGGATTCTTCTTTTATGATTCGAATTCAAAAACATGTATTTGGTCAGCAACTTGTAATTATGTTTGCGAAGCGTATAATTATGATTCTCGATTTCTGGATTATGCTGGTGAATGGATGATCACAAAGAAATGGGGAAACGAAGGAATGGAACCAGTAAATGCCCAAATCTGGATTGGAAATGCAATCGATGCTGCCGGTGTCTTTCCTATTGTCATGTTTATCGATAAAGAAACTGGCCATTACATAGGATTAGACAAGCTTGATCTAATCCCATCACCTAAAATGGGCGCCACTTATTGGTATACTGATCATGGTGATACAATACCAAGAGTTAGCATTAAAGCTTTTAATCCCACTGTTGTGAAAGCTGGTTGTGTGACAAAACTAAGCGATTGGACTGGTACTTGGAAAAGCTTTGGAAACTGTCTGAAACCGGGTGATGTTCGAATCATGTTTATCCTTGTTTTTTGGAATATCTTCCAAGTATGGGTGCAAGCGCACTGTGAAGGTTGCAAGTTAGTTGGATAAGAATTGAAACTTCACAGTAGAGTTAACTTTTCATTACGACAAATGCAAACTTTCTTTTTTTTCACACACTAGTTTTCTACTGATCTTGTAAGAATTTTTAACAAAAATAAACATCGCCACTATTCTTCAACTAATACCATAACTATAGATACTGAAGCGAAGGTGGGTTCAGTTATGGACACTTCAAAAAGAAATATAAAAACAGTGTAACAATTTATTGACGTTTTTCTAGTACTAAATGCAGGTCCCTATATCTAGTTTACAAAGTCAAAAGCCCATCCTATAAATACCGAGATCTTATTGATTGAGAATCTTTTCCATTCTGAGCTCTTATGATGATTCTATCTCGACTCTAGTTTAACCTATGATTCTGAAAATTTTATCACTAACTGCTAGGCTCATGAGAAGTCATAGATGAGATCCTCAAGTGAATCAGTCAAGGCTAAATTGAGTTATTATTCCCAGACTGAAGACAAGGACTTATCACTTGTCAGACATTTTCATAACGAAGATCATATGTCCATTAATTGGAAGTAATTTTTTATCAAATTTTACCCACAGATTACAACAGACAAAAGAAAGAGCAATTCCTCAGATCCATATTGCTTGCTTACTTGTTAAGACCAATAGAAAAGAAACGGTCAATAAACTACCAAGTATGATATCAATACGTTTGAATTTCAAACATGATACGTGAGAGCCATCTTTCAAACATACGATAAATCTTTTTCTATTATTGATATTAGTCAGAGTTCAGATAATACCGATATTTATGTGATCCTAATGTGATTAATTAATTTTCGCAAAACTTTTGAAGTGTACTATGGAAATATTCAGTTGATTGCACAGAGAATCGATTTAAAGAATCAGCATATCCTGATATTCAATACCCATACCTGGAATTACATAAAATTCAAGTATCTATATAATAGTACACCAACAGCAGCTCATATTTTAAATTTAGTATTTTCTCAATGAGAGTCTTCATTTGATGCCAAAATATCAGGGCTAGCTGAATTACAATACAAACACCTTCATTGTTAGATCAACAATGGAATTAGCTTCTGCATCTATTTTTACTAATATAATATCTTTTACTCTTATCAATCTTCAACATGTAAATCAAATCAATGAATTTCAAACATGTTTTCCTAATTTAATATGTCTTTCTCTTTGTTATAACAATGAGATTGACTTTCATCGTTTATGTAAGATTTTCAATCATATTCAAAATCCAATTAAATGTTTTGAAATTCATTGTGATTACATACTATGTTCTCATCGTCATACATCTCATTTTTTTAGCAAAATTAACAACCTAAAATTTACTATTGAATATTTTCTCCTTGATATGACTCATAATTCTATGACATGGATAAATAATTGTTCACAATATCATAAAACATGTG